TAAACTATTTTATCTCAGTTAAAGTTTTTTTTTTATTTAAAGTAAAACTTTTTTTTTAATGATTTTTAGTTAACAATAATACATACTGTATATATCCTGTTATATAAATACCATATGAATATTCAAATTAAAAAATAACACTTCATAGCACAGATAATTCAAAATTCAACATTTTAATCTTGTATATTCATAATTTTTTATGCGTTTCATTTTATATTATTTTTTGAATATTTGATTTTTTGGAAATTTAAATTTACATTTTTAGTTTAATAAACAAATAATAAAACAGAACATAACACACCAGAATCACAAATAAACAGACAGATAGAAAATAAATAAACAAATATTTTAGTTGAAACAGGTTATATTAGTTTAAATATAGCAATTACTTTATATAAAATGATTACAGCAACTTTTAAATAATGGCTGAAAATATCCAACAATGTGTCTTTTAGATATAATATTTATTGTAAATTCTACAATAATGATTATAGACATCATGTTTACAAATAATATAATTATCAATCATTAGCAATATAATTTGCGTTATTCAGCTGATACTGTATGTATAACTAATGCTAGTAAGGATGTTCTGATCAGGATTTTTGGAGCCGATCACCGTTTGCCGATCACAGGAAGCAGTATCTATCGATACGATCACCGATACGATACCGATCTTTTTGAAGCCTTCTTTTTATCATGTAGAATTATTTATAGTGATGCTCCAATCAGGATTTTTACAGATGTTCATCAAACTCCCCAAAGCAATTATCAGCCGATAGCGATCAGTAGCCGATCAATCGGAGCACCCCTACTAGTATGTGGACATTAATTGTCCTGTAATTGCCAAGTAGCCTAGAATACTTTGTAAGACACCATCTAATTTGTATTTATTATTTTTTAAATTAATTTATTGTCTTTTTTCCTTCATTATAAAGGACAAAAGACACCTTGTCTTCTTATAATGTGCCTTGAAATTAGCGAGTCCAGAGCACAGTGAATACATTTCAGGGCTCAAATTACAGGACAATTAATTGAATAATCTGGAGTGTGTGTCGCCGTACCCGGCCTCTTTGGAGCTGAGCATTTTGGCCCATATGAGGTCCGTGTCGATCGGCTCTTCCCGTGGGTTGGTTGAGCTGACCTGCAGCATCAGACTTTCACAGGGGGCGCCAGTGAGCGTCGCCAAACCCTCAATGGCACGACCGGCCTGCAGCGCAAAATACGACCCGTGCAGCTTCGCAAGAGCCTTTTCTATCAGCGCAACCCACAGCTGCCTCCGCTGAGCCTGTCAAAGAGAAAAACACCGAAAAAAGAGAGAGGGATTCAAAAAATATTAATACAAGCCCTTAGCGGGAAGTAATGTTTGCAGCAAAAGTATCATTTCCAAAAATACAATTTAGAATCTTTAACATTTTTTTCATACGCTACTTTATAATAAAAAGCCAAAAATATTTAAACTGTTTTATTTAATATAATTACATTCAATATATTTAATCATAACAATAACATTTTAATGCTAATAATAGTATATAAAATGTGATTACTAAAATATATTTAAAATATATTAACATTTATACAGTTAAATGTAGTAATATCAATTAAAACATTCAAATCTTTACAACGTTTAAAACACTTTTCACTTACTTCTTAAATACTCTTTAAAAATACTTTTCACTAACTTTTTCAATAATTTCCAGAACTGTTTTCAATTTACTTTTTTATTAATTCATCACTACATTAGATATTGTTTAGTAGGTAAAAATTTGCAATTCTTTATTTAACTTCATTAAAGTTTAATTTACTTTTAATAAGTTTTCATTAAAAAAACTCATTGGCCATCATTAAATATGTATATAATATAAAATTAATTACAATTTAAATATATATTTAATAAATATGGTGTAAAATATGTCTTTAATTTGCTTTTCAGATAAATGTAGATTTGATTTGTGATCAATAAACAATATGTATGTATCCAAACTATTTGCTGTTACAATTAACTTCAATTAATTTATCACTCCCTCTGGTTGTCATGTAGGTAAAAATGTGCAATTATTTACATTGGATGACAATATTTGAAACTGCTCACTGATCGTAGTGATCGCAGTTATTTCAAATCATCATGATCAGTCTATTAATTGCAAGCTTGTAAGCTTGTAAAATCAGTCCTAACAAACAAACTCAAGCACAGCAACGAAAACCTGTGAGAAGAGCAGAAATCCGTATTCGTCGCAGGGCAGCATGTCGTCCACCAGAACCGTTGTCCACGTCCCGTCCTTACAGAGCCGCACCTGATACGCTCCCTCCTGGCATATGGTTCTGGTGATCATTACACGCTCCACCAACTCGGGCCGCTCTGCTAGGACCGCGAGAGCGCTTAAAAACCTGTGAAACAAGCGACACAGCACCAACATTTCACTCCTACATCACTAAACTACACTGGGCTGAAATGATTCTGAGCGCAGCAAAACAGCTAAACTGGACGCCACTTGAGGTCATGTGACAAAAAATAGTGTTTAAAGGGATAGATCACCCAAAAATGAAAATTTTGTCATTAATTACTCACCCTCATGTCGTTCCAAACCCGTAAGACCTTCGTTCATCTTCGGAACACAAATTAATGATGGAATCTGAGGGCTCTCTGACCCTCCCATAGACCGCAAGGTAACTACCACGATCAAGGTCCAGAAACATAGCAAGGACATCTGTAAAATAATCCATGTGACATCAGGGGTTCAACCGTAATTTTACAAAGCTACGAGAAAACTTTTTGTGCGCAAAAGAAAAAAAAATAACGACTTGATTCAACAATTCGTCTCCTCCGCATCACCCTAGCGCAGTATCCACTGAACGTAAATTGCGTATGCTGTTTTGTGTCAGCTGCGCCACGCGGATACGTCGTTTACGCTTTGTAGCTTTGTAAAATTACGGTTGAACCCCTGATGTCACATGGATTATTTTACAGATGTCCTTGCTATGTTTCTGGACCTTGATCGTGGTAGTTACCTTGCTCTCTATGGGAGGGTCAGAGAGCCCTTAGATTCCATCAAAAATATCTTAATTTGTGTTCCGAAGATGAACGAAGGTCTTACGGGTTTGGAACGACATGAGGGTGAGTAATTAATGACGACATTTTCATTTTTGGGTGAACTATCCCTTTAAATACATAATCAGTGTTGGGGAAAGTTACTTTTAAATGAAATCCATTACAATATTGCGGTACTCCATAAAAAGCTTATTTATTTTTTATAACAAAAAACTCACAAGTTGCGTTTTTGGCAACTGTAAAGGCCCTACTAGTAACTTGAAAAAGTAATCTCGTGTTATTTGTAATGCGTTACACCCAACACTGTGCATAACACATACTGTTACACTGTATACTGAGCTGTAAGCAGTAAACTAGCACTCCACTCGAAAACTCAACCATAGAGAGACGTGCTTCTCTTACCAGCAATTTCCCAGAAGGCCTTGCAGTATGTCAGAGGGGCGGGGCGTCCTGAACACGGACCACTTCACGCCACGATCCTTAAAGTTATTGCAGTTAATCTCGTGAGGGCGGAGCCACTTTTTGATTCGCTGCTGGACGCTGTCGTTCTCGGGGAACCCAACCGAATGTGGACCGGGGGGGAAACTGTCATCCACGAAGTTCACCGCGTTCTACAACAAACACAAGAATTCAGTAAGATCATCGCACACAAATAAACCAGCATTTGCCATTATTAAATAATACGTTTATAACATATAAACTTTGAAAATGTGTAATATATTTTTTAATAAATATGCTGTAAAATAAGTCTTAATTAAAAAAATATGTAGATCTCATTTGCTTTCATTAAAATGTATATAATATAAAATTAATTACAATTTTAATATAGCATTGTAATAAATACAGTGGATTTCATTTGTTTGTTACATTTATATCATTTGTCATCATTAAATATGTATATAATATAAAATTATCTACAGTCTTATACAATATTTTTACTAAATATTTTCATTTATGTAGATCTCGTTTTTCATCACTTAATATGTCATTTTCCATCAAGAAATAACGTATATATAAAATGAATTGCAATTTTACTATAATATTTTTAATAATTAATTTTTTAACATTTATATAGATCTCATTTGCCATCCATATATATATATATATATATATATATATATATATA